CCACCACCCGTCCCGTTTCAGCCACACTGTCAGCTGTCCTCCCAGGTAAGTGGATGCCCAGACCCAGCCGCTGTACACTGCAGGGTGCATGGCCACTGCTGGCCCAGACCTGATACCCATCCCACCCCCAGGACACCTCCAGGGTTTACAACTGGAAGGGCAGTCCTGATCAGTAGTCATTCCCTGCCAGAGCTCCCAGGGTCAGCTGGCCAGGACAGGAACCCATCCCAGTGGTCCTTCCTCCTGCTCCCCCACCGTGGCAGCTGTCAGGTTCAGCACGACAGCAAGGGAGGCCCCTACTGAGCCCCTGCAAAGGTTCCCCATGGTCGGGGGACTGCACTGGTGGTCAGGGGCCCCTGGGCACCAGGAGGAAGGTGGTGCTCACCTTGGGCCAGCTCACTGAAGAGGAAGGCCAGGGAAAGGGTGGTGTGGAACCAGGCAGCAGGGCTGGAAGCTGCCATGCTTCTGGCAAGCCTTTGACGTGCCTTGGAAGCTCTCAGGCAACGCGCCTTAGCCTCCCACCTGTAAGATGGAGGTGATGCCCTGTTGGCTGGGTCAGTCCGTTATCGTGGCACACAGTAGGTGCTTCCTAAGGTTAACTATGACCACCAACAGAAAAGTTACCCAGGGTGGGAAGGGGGCAGCGCCCACTCCCCATCCCCCTCCCACCGCCATTCAGTGTACATGTTCCTGACTGACCTAGAGGATGGGTCCTGGAGGGCTGTGGAGTGACCAGCCCTGCTCCCCGTGATCGGACTGAGAGGGGCGCATGAGACCAACTTTTTCAGACCATACTTGTGTAAAAAGGTTTTTAATGAATAAAAATGGCTAAGCTTCCAAAAGTTCTTAAATAGGATTTCAGAGGGAAGAAAACGTCAAGAGGCCAGTGAGCAAGCAGGGAGCCTGGTGCCCGGCAGATGGGGGCAGCAGAATCCCCTGTCCACTGGCTGCCTCTGCCAGCCATAAATATAGACCAGCCCCGGGGCAGCAGGGCTGCACGCCCGTGTTCACCTAGGAACACGGTACACTCGCGGCTGCGGGACACCTCAGAGGAGTGCAGCCATCAGGGCTGCCCATGGTGCCACCAACCCACCCCAGTTCCCATGGTCCTGTGCCTGCCTGGAGGCCTCAGCCCACCCCCTAAGGAGGGGCTGCCCAGCCTGCAGGCTTGGGAGAAGACCTGGGCCAACCTGGGCAAGAGGGCCCTCCTCCCACATACTCCTGCCCTTCCCTCGAGGGCCCGGCTCTGATGGCCCAGGCCTGCCAGCCTGAGGGGCCATCCCTGCCCTTCCGTCCCACGCCATTTGCGCCGAGCCACAGCCAAGACATGGATTCCTTCTGCACGTGTTTCTCATCTCTGAGGGGAGGTGGGCAGAAGAGGCGTCTCCTCTCACCTCCCCCTTCTGGAGTCCTGGTGCTGCAGCAGGAGCAGATCCGCAGGGCCTCTGGACCCAGCTCCAGGCCCGGCAGGGTGGGCGCACCATCACACAGGCACTGGCCTCAACTTCCCTGCAGGAGCACCAAGATCATCAGCCTCCCTGTTCCCTCACCTGCCGGCGGCAGCCATAGCAGGTGCCACAGAGAGCAGGAGGGAGCCCAGCAGAAGCACACAGACAAGCAGGCAGCAAGGACGGACTGGCCCTGAGTAGCTGGACGCCCAGGCGCAGCCCTGCAACCCATGGCGGGTGGGCGGGCAGGCGGGCGCACAGCCCTGGGCCACTGGCCCACACTCACCTAGAGACTCTGCGGCCCCAGCCGTCAGGCTGAAATCAAAGTGACAGTGTCTCACTGGTGGGCTTGCCTTGGGTCAGGACCCATAGGACCTGCTGCCCCTATCCCTGTGGGCCCCAGCACTAGCCAGGCCCTTCATGCACAGGGTCAAGCGGGGGGCTAGAGCCCTGGATTCTAGTCTTGTGTCGGAGCTCACTCATCTGGGGTGTGGGGTGAGCCCTGCCCTTTCCACCCCTGGGGAAGCCAAGGTCCAGGGTAGGGGGCTATCGGGCCTGCTCTAGAGGGGGTGCATTGCATGGACCCAGCCAGCCACTCTTGGAGAGTGGGGGCCTGGGGCTGAGTCAGCAGTCCCGGAGAGGAGACTGGACTCTTCCTTACACTGCCCCCTCTCCGGGGACTTGGATTTTCCATCTGTAAAATGGACACAGTACTGTCTGCTGACTCCTCCAGGCAAGGGCAGCCTGGTGGCCGTCATCCTGTGGGGAGGTTCCCCCGTCCCCACCTACCCACTCCCTCCAGGCTCACCCGAGGGCTGCAGCTTCCTCCGGATGGAGCCAGGGCGGCTCGTGGTCCCAGAGCTGGGTGCAGAGTGGGCCCGTGCTGAGGGCTGAGGTGTCTGGCAAGCCGGCTCCCACTGTGGCAGGGAAGGGAAGGTGGGCGGGGGCTGTGGCTGTTCGGCTCCCACAGTGCACCCTGTTCACCACACTGTGTGCCCCTCCACTCCCCTGCCCTGCCTCCTAAAGCTCAGGTTCCACGTCTGCAAAATGGGCAAGATGCTCATACCGCTGCCTCGTACAGTTATCCAGGAACTAAATGAGATGATACATGCAAAGATGTAACCTAGTTACTCTGAGCACCTGCTGTGTACAGACCTGCAGATCAACCCACAAACAACTGATCACCCCTACAGGAACGCTGAGGCCAATAAGTAATTGGACTAAAGAGGCTACCGGGTTTAGGTTCAAGTTCTAGCTCCACCCCCTTCAGGCAGCTTTCCCTCCCCACCACTCCAGGCTGTCCTGGCCCAGCCCTGCCTCCTGCCTGGAAGTCTGACCCAGCCCTAGCCTGAGACGGGCCTGCAGCAGGTCAAGTACCTCTAGATGCTCCTGACTCGACCAGGACCCGAGCTCTGCCCGACGCAGCCCGGGGCCCAGCTCCACAGAGCGCACCCTCTCAGCAAACTTGAGGGAATAGAGTGTCTCGCTGGTGTTCTTCTCCACGGGGGACACCTGGAGCAGGGAGTGAGTGCTCACTGTCCACATCCCTGCCACGCAGGCCAGCTGGCTTCCCCCACAGCCTGGAGCAGTCCCCAGGAGGCCAGCAGGCTTCTCAGGGGAAACAGAGAGGGAGGGGCATGTGCCCAGGCAGGCGGGGTCAGGAGGGCGAGGAGAGTGTCACTGGCTCTGGAGCTGCCAGACAAGGGTCCCTTGCACACAGCCGGGGGCACACGGGTCCGGGTGCTGGCCAAGCCCCTCCGCTGCAAGCTGCCTTGCCCCACCCAGGCCTTCACCTGCACCACCATGAGGGTCTTGCTGTCCCCACTCAGCGAGTCCTGCAGCAGGTAGGTGAGCTTGGAGTTGCGGAAGGGCACATGGCCCTGGCGGGAGCGCAGGGCAGCAATAACATCCCCCAGGGCTGACAGCGACTTGTTGATGTGCTGCGCCTCCCGCAGCCGGCTGCCCTCAGCCCCCGACTTGCCCACGCGCTCTGAGCCTGCCAGGTCCACCAGGTTCAGCTTCCCTGTGGGGAAGGCACCGGACGAATCAGGGCTGCCTGCCCGAGGGAGTCCCGGGGGCCCCAGGCTGGGCTGCCCTCCCCTCTCACCCCCCTCACCCGTGGTGCGGAGGCCTGTGCTGCAGTCTATGCCGCGCACCGTCACGATGAGCAGCGCGTGCGAGCGGGAGCTGTGCTCGTTTAGGTTGGTGAACTCCGTTGTGCGGTTGGTGTGGCCGAACTCAAACACCTGGGGGGTGGGAGGCACCAGGCAGAGGCACAGGGTTTAGAGGGGGGTCTTCAGAATCACCCTGTCTCCCTGATCTCTCCGGTGAATGGTGGTGTCACCCTCTGCATTTTGGAGGAGGAAACTGAGGCTTAGAGAAATGTGGGGACTTGCCCCAGAGCGTGCTCTCAAGACATGGCAGAGCCTGCATTCGAACAGAGTCCTGTCTTCCAGAGTCTCTCTGCCATGCTTGGGGTCTTCCCTGTCCCCCAGCTCCCCAGCCCCTGCAGATGCCCCCAGCCCCACACCTTGTTGATGTCATCCACGCTCTGCACATGGAACTCGGTCAGCCCTGGCACGTACAGCTGCCCGCTGCCGTCTGGACATAGCCGGATCTCCAGTTTCTCCTGAGGCTCTTTCCCCAGCAGGTCCCTGGGGGGCAGGTGGGACAGTCACCCTCCCACTAGCGGCCTCTGCTTGTACTGCCCCCAGCCCCCCTGCTTGGATATTCCCCAGCCCACCACACCCTCAAGAAGGCTCCTCCGGCCTTGGGCTAAGCCTATCTCTCCCCCAGCTCTGTCCCTGCGCTCCTCTGAAGAGGCAAACCCGGCTGTTGCCCAGCAGTCGCATGGATGGCGCGGCTTCTGCCTCCACAGTGACTGAGCCCATTCTCACCCACCGACCCCGGCGCAGCCCGCAGGAAGGAGAAGAGGGGGCCCAGCCAGGGCCAGGCCAGCTCAAAGAGGCCCCCTTCCCCGGGACCACCTGAGTCCCCGGGCTGAGTCAGGACCCTCATCAAGACTTGCAGCAAGGCCCCTTTCCAGCCGTGTCTGGTCCCTGGACTCCTTCGGGAAGTCCTGCTTCCCTGCCCACATCCTCCCCGCACCGCCTGAGGACCCCCAGGCTGCCGCGAGCTGGTCCCCGTCCCGGGCCTCCCACCTGAGGACCTCGTTGTAGATCTCGGCCGCGCTGACGGTGATGGTGTACTCCCAGTCGGACGCCTTCTCTTGCACCTCGGAGAACAGCAGCTGCAGGGCCCGCTGGTTGATGCCAGGGTTCTCAGGGGTGCCCTGGGATGCAAGGAAACGTCCTGTAAACCAGGCCTCTCCCCGCCATGAGGGGTGGACCATGCTGATACTCACAGGGTGTTCGCGCCCCTGACCCCCACAGGTGAGCCTCCCTGCCCAAAGCTCCCACCTGCGTGATCTACTCCCCCCCCCAAAACGCCCTCCGCCAGCTACAGGCAACTTCCCTCCGGGCTCAGTCTCAGCCCTGTGCTTCCCTCTGCCTGGAATGCTTCCAGACAGCCCGCGGGTGGCTCTGCCGTCTCCAATGCTGCCTCCCAGGGAGGCTGCCCACCCCCACCCACGAGCCCATTGCCCATCCTCCTCCCTTGTCAGCTCCACGCCTGGCTTTAATTACTCCCTGTCACCTGACAGGGCACGTCCTGATTTGCATGTGCTCACGGCTGCCTCCCCACTGCCAGGCTGGCTCTGTGGGGGCAGGGACTCTATTTCTGTCATGGCTGGACCTGGCGGGGTGCCTGATACAGCTCAGGCCTCAGTACACAGGCCTGGAGGACAGGTGCTCCTGGCCACCACCACTCTGAGCAGCCCCAAAACAGAGCTGGGAGCCCACACCCTTCGCCCTGCCCACCTGGCCTGGCCTGCCCCTCACTGACGAGTCTCGCCAATTCCAGTATTAAGGGAACAGCAGTGTCCAGATGCCCCCCTCCTGATCTGGGGGATCCCCCAACACCCACTCGACGGCCGGGGGAATACCAGCGAGCAAGAACACCCCAAAGGCCGGCCTTCCACCGCTCCCTTCATAGGCCGAAATTCTTCTCGTCTCAGTGCCCCATCCCCGAAGCCAGGGAGAGGGGGCTGGCCCTGGGCAGGGAAGTCCTGAAGGCCACAGGCGAGAGCCGAGATCCCCACAGACAGCCTACATGGGCCCCTCCGCCCCACTGCCCTGGGATCTCATTTATCTGAGAGCCCCGGGCCCAGGACAAGGCAGCCATAAAGTGGGAGGGCACTCAGCCAACGCGGGGGTGAAACAAAAGCCCTGGTCCTGCATCGTGGGTGCCTGTCCTGAACTGTCGCTAGGCTGAGAGCCCTCTGAAGACAGTTTGCTGCCCAGCACCCTGGCCCCTCCCCACGCCTGCTGGACCCCTCGAGGGTGCTCTTGGCGAGGGAGCCCCTCCCCTCGTCAGGCCTGGTGCCTCAGGACTCATAGCATTTACTGAGGTCTCTGCTCATGGGGTGTCTCTGAGAACGCAATGAGGCAAGACGCTCCTGAGCAAAACCCTGAGCCCAGGGGGCAGCTGCCGCCAACAGCAGCAAAGTGGTGGTCTTCATACTGAGCCCCCGCCCCACTGGGTAGGGGGGCACCTACCTCCATCGTGTATGTCTTGCCAGCACCCGTCTGGCCGTAGGCGAAGATGCAGACGTTGAAGCCATCGATGCAGGAGGTGATCAGGGCCTGCACTTCCTGGAATACCTGGGAGGGAGAGGGAGAAAGGGTGGGAGCTTCCGGGGCTGTGGGACCAGGCACCCCACCAGCTGCAAGTCCAGAAACCTCCCTGGCCACGTTCTCCTTCAGCAGTCAGGCAGCACAGCACGCTGCTGAAGATTCATGACTAACAAGTCACCTTCTCTAGACATCAGTAGGCAGCCTTGCTACCCCTCCCCCAGCTTCTCCGCTCACTCGAGGAAGGCGAGGGCTGGCACATGCCTGGTGCCTATCTGGCCTCGGCCTGCCTGTCAGTGAGAGAAGATGGGGGTACGGGTAGAGCCGGACACGGGCATAGGAGGGCAGAGGTGAAGACAGGCCCAGCAGGTTGGCCTGGGCAGAGATGGGAGAAGAGCTCAACACTGGGGACCAGGGGTAGTGGGGGGTGTCCCCAGGAAGGCCCATGAGACTGACACAGGAGGGTGCTCCTGGCTGAAGAGGCCTGCCTGGAGGGCTAGCTGATCACAAAGATGGGACGATATGGAAGATGGGCGGGGCCACACGGGTGGGCTGAGCTGGGTGGGAGGGTGTGGCTGTATGGGCTGTGCCTGGATCTCTCCTTCCTAAGGGAGGCTTCTGGGCCCTCAAACTTAGCTTCCCATCCTCTTCTAGCCTCCAGAGGAAGAAGATGGACGCTGGACCCCCACTTTTTAATCCTGTCTCCCCAGCCTTACTTACTGTCTTGCTCCAATTCTCCCCCCGCCCCATGATTCTGGCTCCCCTCTCGGCACCGCTTCCCTTTCCCAGTGGATGCTCTCGCCTACAGGGCCACACTCACGTCCTGCTGTGAGGCGCGGGGAGCGAAGACCTTGTCCAGCTCAAAGGACACAGGCTTTCCCTTGTGTACTAGGTGGATGATGGAGTCATCGTCAGGATCGAAGGTCACAGCACTGGTCGCCTCGGGTCCTTCCCCATCCTCTTTGGTGACTGGCCGGACACGAGCAATCACCCGGATGTTCCCTGGATTGGTTGGGTATGGAGAGGCAGGTTTTGGCCGAGTCAAGACCAGACAGCCTCCACTCCACTGTCCACTAGCGTCCCAGGAGGAATAGTGGCCTAGGAGTCCCCTGCCTTTTAAGAAAAGCTCCCGGCCAGGCGCAGTGGCTTAAGCCTGTAATCCCAGCACTTTGGGAGGCCGAGGAGAGAGGACTGCCTGAGTCCGGAGGTTCGCGAGCAGGCTGGGCAACTTGGTGAAGACCTTGTCTTTACTATAAATCAAAAAATTAGCTGGGCGTGGTGGCACATGCCTGTAGTTCCAGCTATTTGGAAGGCTGAGGCAGAAGGATCGCCTGAGCCCAGCAGGTCGAGGATGCAGTGGCCATGAGCATGCTACTGCACTCCAGCCTGAGCAACAGAGGGAGACTCTGACTCAAAAAACCAAAAGAAGAAAAGCTCCCCAGGGCAAGGTGGCCCACAAAGCTGTTGTCCATCACTTATATTAGAGTATGAGTTCACTTAGTAAATTTCTTCCAGAGCAGATCAGGTGGGGTGAGAGCTTTGCCTTAGGGACTGAGAGGAAAGTCTAGCTGGTCCTGAGTCCTGTGTCCAATCACAACAATGGACACTCTTTTCTCTCTGAACTTCAGTTTCCTCATCCAGACAATGAGGGACTTGGGCTGCAATAAGCGAAGAGCTGAACCTGTCCTGAATGCCAGGGCAGGGCTTGGGAATTAGACAGGCAAACAGGACCAGACAGCAGGTGGACTGGCCCTATGTCCAATGGGCATGGACAATGGGGCAACCAGAGGGGTGTCTGGCAGCACAAGGTGATCATGCCACCCCTTCCAACCCTTTGGTGGGATCCCCATGTTCCTGGAATGGAGAGAAGACGCCCCCAACAGCCAACACGGCCCACCTTCCCTCACACAAGACTCCAGGTCACAGTCCGGGTCACAGCTCTAGCTCTGCCTCCTCCAGGAAGCCCCCAATGCCCTCATCTGTCCCATATCCAGGGGTTCTCAGAGGCCCTCCAAACCCTGGAAACGGGACAGTGTTAGGGTTCTCTGTGCGAGCAATGATCACTGTCCAATCTCTTACTGCAGTGAGCACCATGAGGCAGTCTATGGGGCCACGGCCTTATCCTCAGGGTCTGGAACAGCAGCTAGGACAGAGTAGGTGCTTCCCTAGACCTCTGTGCAGTGAATGGTGGAGTCTCAAGCTGGACCAGGCCCCCTAGGCCAGAACAAGTGGCATTCCAGTCAACTGCCATCAGGGCATCAACATCACACCCCTCGGCCACCCAAGGGCCTGGGGAGCAACTGCTGTGGCATTGGGGTGGGAGCTTCAGAGCTGGACAGGTCCAAGTTGAAAGCTAAAGAGGAGCATGGCTACCCCTGAGGCTTGGAGCAAGTTCCCTGACTTCTCTGTGCCTCTTTTTTTTTTTTTTTTTGAGAGTAAGTCAGAATTCAGAATTTATTAGAAGATAGGATAGCTCTGGGCAGTAGCAGGAGGGGATCCGAAAGAGGGTTGTCCTGCTTATCTACAAAGAGAGGATCATAACAGCTCCTCAGTGACAAAGCACAGCTCCAAGGATGACGGCCAAGCTGGCTTGGGGACCCTGCGCCACCCCCAGCCTGCGGGCATCACCTTTCAGCCGCACGAGCTCATTGTGGCACTTCTTGCGCAGCTGCAGCTCCCGGCGGTACTTGCGCAGCAGCTCTTGGTTGTTGTTGTTGACCTCCTCGATGGCCTGGCCGATCTGGCGGGGGGCACACCGCTGTCAGGGGCCGGCTCCGCCAATCTGCCCGACGGGCTGCTTGCTGCCTCCCACCCCAGCTGAGCGTTTGACATGCGCTGTCACACGTCCAACTGTCCAAATCACCCCTCTGTGTAGATACTGCTGCTATATCCCGTCTTACAGTTGAAGAAACTGAGCCCCAGAGAGGCTGAGCCAACAATCCTGGTTACCCTGCTAAGAAGCAAAAAGGCTCCACCTTCCCTCCACAGCACTAGACTCTAACATGATTTGCCAGGACTCAGATTCCAGCCTCCCCCCTCGGGGACCACTGGCTCGGTGTCTTTGAGCCTCAATTTCCTCAACTGTAAAATAGGGCTAACGTCATGTAACTCATGAACCTGTAAAGAGATGGCAGGTACAGATCTCCTAATTACATTTCATGGGGGGGGAGCAAAACCACACATGCAGTATGCTCCCTCTTTCTGGGGTCAAAAAGACGTATATATAGTCGTCCCTCGGTATCCATGGAGAATTGGTTCAACGATCCCTCCTCGCCCCCCACCAGGATACCAAAATCCATAGATGCCCAAGTCCCTGATAGAAAAATGGCATAGTATTTGCCTGCAATCTACACACATCCTCCCACATGCTTTAAATCATCTCTAGAGTACTTACACCTAATACAATGTAGAAGATGTATAAATAGTAGCTATGCTATATTAGTTTCTAAAAGTTCTATTATTTTTTAATTGCTTTGTTATTTTTTAATTTCTTTTTTTCCAAATATTTTCGATCTACAGTTGGTTGAATCTGTGCATACGAAACCTGCAGATATAACAGATGGCCACTGTATATGCGTACTCGGACATCAATTGGCCGAATCATGCACAGAACACCCTGGAGGAGATGTTGAGAGACAGGAGTGGGGTGGGGACAGAGAGGCCATTCCTGTTCATCTGATGCCCTTCTGCAGGGCCTGACTCTTCACCTCATTCATGTGTTACTGATATGATTTTTTAAAGAACAATTTGCTATTCCCCAAATATATTAGTCCCTACAGAGCTGTCATACAGATTCAAGGAGCCAACGGCTATAAACAGCTCAACATGTAGGAGGCACTTAAGAGACATTGGCTGTTCTCATCCTGTACAAGCACAGCTTTACAAATTATGTGCAGCCCAACGGGTCTAAGAATATATGTAGCATGTCTAAGATATAAGGATATTTGTAACACGTTTGGTTTAAAGAATCATAGTGAGACTAATACCCGCCATGATAGTCGATTTCAAACAGGGCCTATGAGGGCAGCAGTGTGGAGGGGAGGGCTAGCTGTTGTCTAGGGGGCTTTGGCTGAGTCTAGCAAGGGAGCCCCAGTGGGTGCTGTGTCTGCCCTCAGGCTCCAGGACCTCTCCCCAGTGCACGCCCACAGCCTACACCCACCCACTGCCTCATTCACCTCGGCCTTGACATTCCGTAGGGCCTCCTGCAGAAGCAGCGGGAAGCCGCGCACCTGCCGCTTGAGCCCGTTGTAGTCGTTGGTGAGGGTCCGCAGCGCTGGCTGCAGCGTCAGCAGGTTGGTCCGGACGCCTGCAGGGACACGCAGGGTGTGAGGTGGATGGGAGTGAGGGTCGTGGCGTGGGCAGGCAGGGTCCAGCTGGCCAGCTTACCTGCCAGGTTCTCGTGCACAGCCTTCATCTCCACCTGAGCCCGGGTGAAGGCCTCCTCGATGGCCCGATTCTTGTCCTCCTCTAGGGACTGCATCTCCTCCAGCATCTGCCCGTGTGCCCGCTCCAGCTCCGACTCGTACATGGCAATCTGGTGGCCAGGTCAGGAGACGGCTCAGGGACATGGGGCGCAGTAAGGGCCAGGGGCAGGCACCATGCTTGGAAAGACACCCGGCCGCTCAACTCATGGCCGTGAACACGCACGTGCATGGAATAGAGGAGCAGAATGGCCTCTCTCTCCCCTACAGAGCTATGACCTCTCCACAATAGCCCCAACACCAACCTAGCCCCAGCACACACCACGGGCACAAGCCCCAGGCCCCCAGGAGAGGGCAGGGGACAGCAACTATCAGGACAGTAACAAGAACAGCAGCCAGCTTCCTGAGCACAGCCTGTGTGCTGGGCCCTGGGTGAAAGGCCTCTTGGATCATGTTTTTGTGTTGTTTGGTTTGGTTTTTTTTTCATTGGAATCTCACTCTGTCGCCTAGGTTGGAGTGCAGTGGCAAGCTCATGGCCACCCCAGTGTCGACATGCTGGGCTCCAGCAATCCTTCCACCTCAGCCTTCCAAGTAGCCGGAACTGTAGGCATGCACTACCACACCTGGCTAATTTTTTATTTATTGTAGAGAAGAGGTCTCACCAAGTTGCCCAGGCTGGTCTCGAACCCATGGGCTCAAGCAATCCTCTCACCTCGGCCTCCCAAAGTGCTGGGATTATAGGCATGAGCCATTGCACCCAGCCCAGGTCATGTTAAGTCCCCTCTGTGAAGTGGGTTCTGGGACCAGACCATGTTATAGACGAGAAAAAGAAACTTAGACAAAATTCGTCTTTGACCCCATGGCCACCAGAAATGGGGAGACTGAACCCCAGGCCTGTCGGTCCCCAAATACTTCACCGCTATGCTGCCCCAAAAGTTTCCCGGCCCAGCGTGCACCCCATGTGGCTGTGCACCTGCGCTCGGAGCTGCGTGGTCAGCTGATGCGAGCTCTGAAGCTGCTGCTCCATCTCCTTCAGCACCTGCCTCTGCATGGCCACCTGCTCCTGCAGGTGCTGGTTCCGGGCCTGGGACTCGCTGAGGGCCTGCTTGGTCTTGGGCGACTCCACCTCCACCGTCTTGATGATGTACTGCAAGGCAAGGGAAGGGTGGGCACGTGGAGGTGCTGGGCTCCCCGACCTCACCTGGGGGCCTGAGACGCAGCTGGCCACTGAGAGTCCCCGAAAAAAACCAGAGGAGCCTCGAGGCCCTGGCCTTCCAGAAAGCTGCAGGCCACCTGCAATCTTCCCATCATAGCGAGAGCCTAGTCAGGGCCTGGCTGTGGCCGCGGCCTGGGTACAGACAAGAAGGGCAAAGACGAGGGCAGAATCCAGAGGTGGCACTGCATCTGTTCCGGGCACACGGCGACACCTCAGCTGCTAGGTGCACGCTGCCTGGACAGCAGGCAGGGGAAGGGCAAGACCACACACAGAACTGGAAAGATCAACCACTCTCACCTGTCTGTTCACCAGGACGAGCCCCTCCTCCAGGCAGAGACTCACCTTGACCGGCGGGGACTGGACCCTCAGGCTGGCGATGGTCTCGTGGCTGTCGCGCAGCCGTCGGCTGAGCCGCTCCTCCTCCTGCGCCTTCTCGGCCAGGCAGTCCTTGAGCCGCAGCTCCACCTCGGCCAGCCGGTTGGTCTTCTGCTGCACCTCCAGGTTGAGCTCTGACAGCACGCCTTTGCTCTCCGCCACCTCCAGCTGCAGCTGCGAAAGCTTGTCGCGGAGCTGGGTGCTCTCCTGCGGGTGGCCGGAGCGAGTGTGAGGCGGATGGGAGGGCGGGGTCGCCATTGGGGGAGGGCCCTCCCGCGGCCCGGGGACCAAGGCCTGCCCGCTCGCCCCCTCACCCGGCTGTGCTCGCAGCCCAGGCAGGGGCCCGCAGGCTTGGCCCGCAGCTCCTGCAGCTCGGCCTCACAGCGCCGCATCTCCTGCCTCAGTCGCTCGTTCTCCACCATCAGCAGGTCCCGGTGCTTCTCCAGGTCGGTGCCCCCCTGCGGAGAGCCAGGGTGAGGGGGTGTGTGATGAGGAAAGGTGGAAAGGAAGGGAGGGGGCCGGCGGAGAGGGCACAGGGGCAGGGGCGAGAGGAGGGTCAGGAGGAAGACCGAGGGAAGGAGAAAAAGAAAACGCAGGAGGGAGAGGGAGAGGAGAGTCCAAGGGAGAGTCAGGAGCAGGGCAGCGGGCGGGGGTGAAGCTCCCCCAACTGCCCGCCCCATTCTGTTTTCCCAAGTGTGAAAGTAACAAGAAGTCACATTTACACACAGGCTTCACACTCCTGTTCTACGTCAGCAAACAAGATGACTCTCCCTCCCCTTGGAGGCACAAGTCACACGACCGCTGAGAGTACCAGCGGGCGGTGATGAGTCCTGGGTGTGTTTTTGAGACAGGGTGGGACATGAGGGCTGGAGTCGCCTGCCTGCACCTGGCAGGGCCCCCGCACCCCCCAGGTCGGCCAGGGCCCACCTTACCAGCTCTGACCGCAGTCGGCTCACTTCCTGGGCCTGGCTGATGAGCTTCTCCTTCAGGTGTTCCACCTGCCGGCACAGAGCAGTGGCGTGGTGAGCCTCGGCCCTCACCAGGCCTCCCACTGCACCAGGGATGACCGACCCGGCCCCTCTGACCCATGGTCTGGGGTTGCCCTGTGACCAAGCATCAGCCCACACCCGGGACTCCAGTCCTGACAGCCTCCAGCAGCCCCTCCTACCACTGGCTGAGCAAGTGCACAGGAAAGCCTGGAGAGCAAGTGCCACCAAGGAGCCTGACTGCCACCCTGGGCCCACCCAGGGGCAGCTCAGGAGACTCTGGCAGCTGACCCTGCAGACCTTCCCTGGCACAGGCCCCTTCCAAGGCCCTATACCTGCCCTTGTGTATATAACCTTATATTCCCTTTATTAAAAAGGGCCCCAAATTGTATGCTCTTCAGGCCCTACAAACCCTGGATCCATCCCTGCCCTGCCCCCAGGATTTTCCCCTTTGAGTGGTTTCCCGGCAAGCTGGTATAGAGACGGGTCTGGCAGTGCCCAGGGCATGTTTGGGACCTGTGTCCGCCCCTGCTCCCCATCTGCCTTGCAGGAGGACTGTGGCCAGTCAAGGCTGTTAGAGAGAGAAGGGCGTGCATGCTCCACCAGAAAGCCACGGTGACCTGGCTCATCTGGGCCTCGGCAAAGGGAAACTACCAGGGTGCCGCCCCAAGAGAGCAGGTTGGAGGACGGTGACACTTCCCTGGAGGTTGGCACAAGTGGTCCTGGAAGCACTGGGTTCCAAATACTGAGTGGCAGGTGACAATATTCACCGCCTACAGGGGCCAGCCAGGTAGGATGTATGAGGAACTGTGTAGGACTGGACACCCAAGAGCCCCCTAAGGCAGCCACAACGAGCTCCCCTTGGACCAGTCAGGTGGGAATGCATGCCCAGCATCACCAAACATCTCTCAAGAGATGCAAGACATTTGGATTTTCAGGGTGTATACTTAAACTCTCCCTACTCAAGCTGGACACAGTGGCTCACGCCTGTAATCCCAGTACTATGGGAGGCCGAGGCAGGAGGATTGCTTGAGTCCAGGAGTTTGAGACCAGCCTGGACAACATAGTGAGACCTTGTCTCTACAAAAAAGTTAAAAAAAAAAAAATAGCCAGGTGTGGTGGCACGCCTCTGTAGTCCCAGTAACTCCAGCGGGAGTTGAGGCTGTGGTGAGCCGTGAACATGCCACTGCACTCCAGCCTGGGAGACAGAGTGAGACCCCAACTAAAAAAGACAAAAACAAAAAACACCCTACTCTATATGGTGTGGGCAGTGCCTGACTCAGAGGTCCCTGTCTCACGGGGTGGAGAGAGCAGCTGAACCACAGCAGCCAGGCCTCTGCTTCTCTGAGCGGATTGGGAAGAAAGTACGCTCAGGAAAAGGCCAGTGAGCCAGCACCGCTGCTCCCAGTGGGACTGGGGGCTTCCAAGACACAAGGCCCAGATGAGGCCTCCTGGTAGACAAGCAGGTGACCTCAGCGGGATCCTAGGAAGTCACCTCTGTCACAGCCTGCACCAGCACGTTCCTTCCCCGCCACACACTGGGGCATGGGCCGAGCAGAGAGGTCAAGTTCAGGCTGCTTCTCTGCCCACTAAGTGCCGGGGGAAAGAAGCACCCATACCTTTGGACCCAGAGGGGAGTAGGGGCGGTTCGCATAAGGCGGCCTTTCAGTCTCTAGTCGTAAACGGAAACAGCCCCCCACGGGAGGAGGGGCAAGCAGACCACAGTGTGTACATGTCACATAGACGATTAGGCAGCCAGTATGGCTGTGTGGGTCAGGAGTTGAAAATGTTATGGGGAAAGGCTCATCAACATATGAAGTCCAAGAAAAATCTGGGAGAAAATTTGATACAAAAACGCAGAGGTGTCTGGGCTGCAGAGTTACAGTTGACAAGTGCTTTATGCCTTTCAGTAATTTTAGGACTCAAGGAATATGTGTTCCTCTTGTACTCCCCCACCCTGAAATAAGTGGGTCTACTTCTTTCTGAAAAGGCTGGGGTCCCCGCCTCCTCTCTCCTCCCCTTCCCAGACAGGCTACTGCCTCAGCACGGGGCTGGCTGTGCTGACCTCGGTTGCTGCCACCGCCGCTGCCGGGCACTCAGACCCCGAGACAGTGAACGTGAGGTTTGCTGGTAATTGCTGGGGAAGGGTTCAGGATGCCTCCCGGCCGCCTGCCTGCAGCCCAGGCTCCTGCCCCCTTCTTGCATCACAATGGGAACATGGGTGCTCCTGGGCTCTGTCTGGAGTCTCCCAGGGATGCCCAGAAGGAGGTGTTTGCAATGGGCAGGCTCAGGAGCACGGGGGAAGATGGGTAAGGACTGTCAAACACTAGGTCATCTCTGGCTTGTCCTGGGCAGCAGAGCAGGGGGACATGACTGAGAGGCAGCAGACCGACAAGGCGGATGCCCTGGCCAAGATGCCGCCGGCCTGCTCTGTGTGGAGTGATGACTGTGCCCAGGGGGCCAGCTCCATGGGGGGTGGGGGTCTGCTTTGGGAGGACTTGTGGGAAAGATGCCAGTTTTCTTCTAGACCTGAAGGCAGAGCAGGCAAGTCTCTCAGAATTAGGGAAAACAGGCAAGAAGTCAGAAGAAATGGAGGCACCTGGGGAAAGCAGATGGGAGACAGGGCTGGGGGCAGAAGAGCCAAAAATGAGCCTGGCCCGAGAGCGCAGCCTTCCGCAGGGGACCCGAAGGCCTCTCCACTCACCGCAGCACCTGTAAGCCCATGAGAGAGGGTCCCGAGTGCCAGCAGGGGACCAGCGCACAGGAGATGCTCAAGATACACTTGAAGTGACCGCAAAGCAACTGCATGCACACTCTGAAGTCAAAGAGTCAGGGTAAAGGAGGAAGCAGGCTCCTGACCAGGCCGCCGAGATGGTTCCAGGACCACAGTGACCTCAACCCAGGGCTGTAGAAGGACCAGGTTCCTCATCAGCCAGAGCAACTGAGTCATGGGCCCAGGAGAGGCAGGGAAAAGAGGGTGCTGGGCCCATCTGCCAACCTGACACAACCTGCATTTACACATTACGGGCAGAAGCGGGCTGGGCACAGGGCGGGGCTGGCCTGCTCAGGTCTGCGTCTTCTTGGCTATCTGCTCCCAAGACGGCCTCCCGCCGATGCAGACAACCTGCTGATTACCTCCCTAGCTCCTACTGAACCTGGCCAACAACCATCAGCTGTCTTCTGAAGAAAAGAGGGCTCTCCCAATAGCAAGACCAGAGGGCCTGGGACCCAGAAGCCTCAAGGAAACACAGCCCAGAGGTCACACTCCCACCAGAAGGTTTGATCCTGGGTCTGTGACCACTGACCAGGCTTGTCTGGCCCCTGTCCACGCTGCGCTGCCTCTACCGCCAAGCCTTCACATCTGGATCCTTCTGCCACTGGGCCACAGAAATAGCAGTTAACAACTCGGATTCTTAAGCCAGACTGCCAGAGTTCTATTCCAGACATCCCCGTACCAGTGAGTAAGCCTGGACAACTCTTGGTCAAGTTGGTTTCTCTGTGCCTCTCAGTCTCCTCATCTGTATAATGAAACCTCCTCATCGATGCTGTCCTGGGATCAAATGAGGTGACCTATGTGAAAGACAGGACTCGGTGCACTGCTAGAACGAAAGGTCTGTGAAGGCAGGGGCTTTATGTGTTGTGTTCAGTGCTGTCCTCCCAGTGCCTAGAACAGTGCCTGGGACAGAGCAGGTGCTGAGCACACAGTGTAGGAAGAATGCTGACTGCATGAAAGGCCAGCAGAGCAGGGCCTGGGGGCGAGGCTGGCCAGCAGAGCATGGGGCAGGAGGGGCGGTGGGCTGGGCATATGAGCTGAAGGACACTCATAGGAATGTCGGCCCAGAGGTGTCCCAATATATCCTCCAATATTTTATGACAAAAAGGAAGTCCATGTTTTTAATGTGAATTTAATTAAGATTAAATGTCAACAACTAATTGGATTTAAAAATCAGGCCAGGCTGGGCGTGGTGGCTCATACTTGTCATCTCAATACTTTGGGAGGCCCAGGTGGGAGGATGGTCTGAGGTCAGGAGTTTGAGACTAGCCTGGGTAACACAGTAGCACCCTGTCTCTGCAAAAAATTTTTCTTTAAATTAGCCTGATGTGGTGACATGTGTCTGCAGTCTCAGCTATTCTGGAGGCTGAGACAGGATGACTTGAGCCCTGGAGTTCAAGGTCACAGTGAGCTATGATTGTACGACTGCACTTCAGTCTGGGCAACAGAACAAGATATGTCTCTAAAAAATAAAAATAGAAAAATAAAATAAATAAAAACCAGGCCAATTAGAACTAAAAATCAAATTCAGCAAAGTTGCAGGATACAAAATCAACACACAAAAATCAGTTGCATTACTACAACAATGAACAATCCAGAACGGAAATTAAGAAAATAATTCAATTTACAATAGCATCAAAAATAATAAAATACTTAGCAGTAAACTTAGCAAAAGAGGTTAAAGATTTATACATTAAAAAGTATAAAATCAGGTCAGGTGCAGTGGCTCATGCCTATAATCCCAGCACTTTGGGAGGTCAAGATGAGAGGATTGCCTGAGCCCACAGGTTCAAGACCAGCCTGGGCAACATGGCAAGACCTTGTCTCTACAAAAAATAAATAAATAAGTAATTAGACGGGCATGTTGGCGCATGTCTGTAGTTCCAGTTACTTGGAAGGCTGAGGTGGAAGGATTACCTAACCCCAGCAGACCAAGGCTGTGGTGGCTGTCAGTGTGCCACTGCACTTCAGCCTGGGCAACAGAGTGAGACTCTGATTAAAAAAACTACAAAATTGGCCAGGATTACAGGCATGAGCTGCAATGCCCCAACTGTCTTTTAGTTTTAATTACTTCATGCAAACCTATATAATATTGCTGAAATAAACGAAAGATGACACCAATAAATGGAACATTCCATGTTCATACATTGGAAGACTTAATATTGTTAGGATGTCAATACCACCCAAAGCAATCTACAGATTCTATGCAATCCCTATCAAAATCCCAATGATGTTTTCT